TCTCTGTCAAATAAATAAATAAAATCTTTAAAAAAAAAATCTTAAAAACAAAAATAAAAAAATAAAGTGCTTACATGTGCTCTCATTTGATATAAGCCTGCAAGGTAGGATATTCTCATTTTCTTAAAAAAGATTTATTTGTCTGAGAGAGAGGAGAGAGAGCACAGAGGGAGGGAGAGGGAAAAGCAGACTCCCTGCTGAGCAGAGAGCCTGACAGGGGGCTCGATCCCAGGACCCCAAGATCACAACCAGAGCTGAAGGCAGATGCTGAACTGACTGAGTCACCCAGGGACCCTGGATATTCTCATTTTATAAATGAGAATGGACAGCCTCAGAATTTAAGTCCAAAATCACATTTTGCTGCTTACTAGAGGTAAAATGAAAATTTCACAATTACGGTCTCTAAAGCCCAAACTTTTCTCATGAATCTATACTCTTATCATGAAATAATCCCTTATTTCAGGCCCCATGCTTCTAGAAATTTGTGATCTTACTGGTCTTGGGCAGAGCCAGGCATCCATCCATATATATTTTTTTAAGATGTACTTATTTAGGGGCGCCTGGGTGGCAGTGTTGGTTAAGTGTCTGCCTTGGGGCTAAGGTCATGATTCCCAGGGTTGGGCTCCCTGTTTCAGCAGGGGAATCTACCACTCCCTCTCCCTCTGCTCCTGCGCTCTCTTACTCTCTCAAATAAATTAAAAATCTTTAAAAACTTATTTATTTGAGAAAGTGTGTGTGTATGGGGGAGAGGAGGGGCAGGCGAGGGAGAGAAAATCCCAAGGTGATTCCCAGCAGAGTGTGGAGCCTGGGGGGCGGGGGAGTACTTGATCTTAAGACCCTGAGATTATGATCTGAGGCAAAATCAAGAGTCGATGCTTAACCAACTGAGCCACCCAGGTGTCATCCATGCATATTTTTAAAATGCTCTCCAGATGATTCTAATGTGAAGCCAGGTTGCAAACTACTAAGATAATAAAAGTCTTTGAGGGGTGCCTGGGTGGCTCAGTCCATTAAGCGTCTGCCTTCGGCTCGGGTCATGATCTCAGGGTCCTGGGATTGAGCCCCATATTACACTCCCTGCTCAGCGGGGAGTCTGCTTCTCCCTCTGTGCTCTCTTTAAAAAAAAAAAAAGTCTTTGAATGTAATCTTAAGAATCTATGTTGAGATATGTCAAAAAGGTACAAAAGATGAGGGTTACTCAATATTATAGCCATCAATTTAGTAAACACAGAATTTCCAAGGTTCTATTGAGAAGTTAAGTGCCTCAGAAATCCTTGGCTTTTTATTTTTATGGAAATCTCCAAAGAACATAGGAAAGCCAGGTCATCTTTTAGACACAAAAACCCTTCCAAAAGTCATCTATGTAAAACTGAAAGCAGCAGACACTCAAAGGAAAATAAAAAATCTAATTACAATATATCCTGCAACAGAATAGGGTCTCATTTGATTGGAAATGGCAGTGGAATGAGGTCTCCTTTAGGCATTCCTAGTCCTTTGCAATTTGCCAGTATGCTAAATTATAATGAAGGAAAAACCTACTAACTTATCAGACCCCTAGACAACTGGGGAAAATGACAAAAAAAGTCATACATTTGTTCATCAAATACTAACTGATGATCTATTCAGTACCAGGCTCTGTTCTAGGATTTAAGATAAATAATGAGGAAGTTTCTATCTTCTAGGAGCTTATGAGTTACTTACATTAAAAAGGGGGTAGTCAATACAACCTGACCTGAATGCTGACCTCAAACAACGGCTGGATTAATGACTGGGTCATCCCAACTGAATAAAGTAAGTAACATGATTTTTATCAACATGGGTGTCTCAAAATTCTAAGCTCCAGAGGAAACGTCTGTCACTCTAGGAGGAGATGTACTCTTGGGTGATTGGTGTTCTGGGTGTGGCTGACCCAAACAGCTTTTATCTGGGTATAATCTCAGTTAAGGGAAGCTTTTCATTTAACTTCTTACAGTTGGATCTTTACTCAACATAAAGAAATGTATGCTTAACAAGGTGGCAAGTGGTCTCTCGACAATTTCAGTAACCACAAACATCACGCATTAGCCTGTAGCACTGGCAATGCCAGGAATTTAAGACCTGGCTAGGGAGAAATGTAGACTGAGTGTCCAAAACTCATGGTAGAACCCATGAACTAGAATCTGAACAGCAGAGGGCGGTGCAACCGACTTCACAACAAGAGTTTCACAGACAGGAGCCCCCCCCAGAAATGGGCCACTAGCCTCGGTATAAGGCAAAACTTTTTCAGTAAACTCAATGAATCATAAAATATGGTAACTGTTCAGCGTTGGACTCATGTGGCTGTTTTCCATAACCTCTACTCTAATCTGACCGTTAAAGCTCCCTTGTGAATAGGTTTGACCTTACAGTTTGGGGGTGGGGATGGGACGGGAGGGGGTAAGGAGGAATGAAATCAGACTCTCGGGCTTCCCAAAAGAATGCTTACCCTTGGTTTTTGGAAAGAGTCTTAAAACTGCAGGGGATCACTCCCCTAAAAGATAAGCCCGGTCGTTCTTGCCAGTGACAGCGCTGACAAACACGTTACAACATAGTTTTGGGGGAGGGGAGGAGTGTAGGAAACCGAAAAAGAAACTAATTCTGTGGACTAACCCAAGCCCCTCTCACTTCAAAAGAGCGTTCCAACAAAACTAGTCGCCACTCCCTAAGTTTCGCTTTAAGTCGAAGCACCCATGCCACCCGCTCCATCCTACCCCAGCACCAACTCCAAACTTTCCGCCCCTCACACCGCCCCCCAGGCGTGGAACTCCTCCCGGCACGCCGGGCTCCGCTTACGGAGAGGCTCGAGGCCGGGCTCGGGCAGGGCCAGAGTAAGAGCGAGGACCCGCGGCTCACGTTCTTCCCCAAAGCTGACCGTACCTGTCCAGCATCTGCTGTAGAGCTTGGTCCGGCATCTTCCGCGGAGCCGGCGCACTCGGCCCTCCCCAGTGGACCTGGTCAGGGCCCGGCCCAGGGACAATAGCACTGAGAGGCGGCGGAGTAGGCCTCAGTCCTTCGACAGCCGCGAACCCGCCGCCCAGCCTCCTGGGGTGGCTCCGCGAGCCCAGAGGCGGCGGTGCGCGTCCTGCGGGCGTCCGGAGGAGGCGGTGGAGAGCGAGGAGGAGGAGTCTGGGGAGGGGAGGCGGCGAAAGCGGCCCGGGTTCCTGCCCGTCGGCCCGGGGTTCCGGTCCATGGACCGCGGGCGCCGAGTTGCTGCCGCCGGAGGAGCTACCTCTGTGAGGTAAGAGTCACCGCCTCCGTGCGCGCCGGGGTCACGACGCAAGGCGGCCCAGAGCAGCCTGGGAGATGTAGTCCTCGGACAGTCCCCGCTAGAGGCTGCATAGCCCGTCCTGACCACCGCCGCCGCGCCAGCCGCCGCCCGGCCGGCGCCCTCCCGTTTCCTTCCTCCAGGGGGAAATATGTCCTTCGGGCCGCTTTCCAGGAAGCTGCAGGATGTGCCGCTCCACTGTCAGTAGCAACAAGGTCAGCCCTTCCTGCCTGTTTCTTTTCTCAGTTTTTGCCCTCAGGTGGGACCGAGCCAGGTGAGGGAAAGGAGCTGAAGGGCCATTTCTCATCAGGGTCCCCAACCCCGGTCGTGGTGTCGGGGCGGGCCGTGGCGGGGGTGGAGGTGGCAGAAGCGTCTTCAGAAGCCCTCGAGCTGGGGCCAGCCTCTGCCGCGTCTGAGCTCATTTTGGAGAGTTACACAACCCACGCAAGGGGTCGGATGCACTGGTGCGGGAGGTTATTCCTACAGGGTCGGGGAGGGTGGGGGAGGCTGCCTTAGACCAGATGGTTCCCACCGGAGCTTCTGAGTGTGTGTTTTGGGGGAGTGGCGGGGGAGAAAAGATTATTCTCTCCCTCTGTAGGAGCCTTCTAAAATGTGCCTGGTCTTTCAAGGGCTCGTCGACAGTCTCCAAATGGAACATGTTCGTGAATAAACAGCTCTTGCTTACTCAGCTGTGGGTTGTCAGGGGTGTTTGTTTCTCTCTCTGCTGCTGAACCTGTTAACCATTTCCAGTCGCTTTGACACCTCCAAGCAGGTGGATGTGTGTGGAGGAGGGGGGCTGGAGGGGAATCAAAAGGGAAAAATCATCGATCACTCTTTGGGTTATTCTTTGACGCTCTAGGGACAGCTTTGGCGGGAGGAAAGAGCTGTTGGCTAAAACGAATGCGTCTTTTGGACGACCTGTGGCATTCTCCAGTGCTGTAATTGGTAGGACGTCTGGTAGTTTTCCCTTGATTATGCCTCATTTCTGCTGCAAGGTGTTTGATTTTTGTTTAAAATTAAAATTAAAATGTGTCTTTTTGCTCTTTTTTTAATGTGGAATTTTACAATCACTTCCTAATTCTCTGTTTAAAGTTTGCTTCCTGAATATATTTGAACTAGAGTGTACATTGCCAGAAAAAAAAAAAAAAAAAGTGAACAGAAGTTTATTTGGGCTCCAATTTCTGCAAGATGCTTTTATGAAAGCCTTTGGGAATTTACATGACTAATTATAAGTAACAATTCACCTTTTTTCTCACGAAATGTAAAACAGGCCCCCGCTAGTGGAGGGAAATAAGAATTTAGTTTACTCAGGGTGTTTGATATTTTAAATTCCTATTTATTGCTCCTCCTACTGGGTAAGCCTTCCCTTACTGTGTATTTATCTCTTAAGTAGTTGTCCACTAAGGAGATGAATATATACATCCTGCTCAAAAAATATAATTTGATCCCAGCATATTGATTAAGTAGGCTAGTGCACACTTCATCTAGTTTTATGATTTATACTAAAAGTTCTCACCTCATTTTATAATTCCTGTTTGAACCCCAAATTGGAAAGTAATATGCAGTTTTGTTGATAGAGAAGCTGTGTACAGATAACCTTATTTAAAAAAAAAAGGATTTTATATTAGATTTTCATGAAAAGTCTGTTTCCAGGCTTTGTCAAAAATCTTTTGAAATTAAAAAAAAATATTCATCATAACAGTGATTAGCACCTGATCTCGCAATTCCACTCCTTGTTTTTTACCCAAGAGAAATAAAATATGTCTAGACAAAACTTGTATACAAATGTTCATAACAGCATTATCCCTAATAGCCCAAATGTGGAAACAACCTAAATATCCATCAACTAATGAAAGGATAAATCAGATGTGGTACATCTATACAATAGAATATTATTAGATAACAGGGAATGAAGTTCTGATACATGCAGCAACATTGGTAAGTCTTGAAAATATGCTAAGTGAGAGAAGCCAGTCATAAAAACCACATATTTGTTGTATGATTCCATTTATATTAAATATTAAGAAAAAATTCATAGGAACAAAGTAGATTAGTAATTGCCTAGGGGTGGAGGGGTAAGAGAGATAAGGGGAGAGATTGCTAATGAGTACAAGGTTTTTTTTCCGGGGTGAAGAAAATGTTCCAGAATTAGAGCGGTAATAGTTATACAATGTTGTGCATTATATCGCAATTAAAAAAATGGTGTAAAACCAAATTAGATTCTAGTGGTGGCACAGCTCTTTAAATATACTAAAAAAATTGAATTGTACACTTAGTATGGGTGAATTTTATGGGATGCAAATTATATCTCAATAAAGCTGGTAAAAGAGTAATTAATTAGCTCCATATAAAATGTTCATAAGGACATCCAAAGAGAAATGGATAAATATATAACTCATAATTCTTTATTATCAAACTTTAATTTTTAAATATTTTAATTAGTATGGGCAAAAATCATGACTGATAAAACTCATGAATTAAATTAAATCCTTGCATTTAAAATGGGTGACACATATAGCCTGAATTTTAATATTATCTGTCGACTTTATTGTCCTCAGCTCTTGCATTTAAAAATAAAACTCAGGGGGCACCTGGGTGGCTCATTCCATTAAGCTACTGCCTTCACCTCAGGTCATGATCCCAGGGTCCTCGAATTGAGCACCTGCATCGGTCTCCCTGCTCATTGGGAGCCTGCTTCTCCCTCTCCCTCTGCTGTTCCTCCTGCTTGTGCTCTCTTTTTTTGTCAAATAAATAAATAAAACCTTTTTAAAAAAATAATAAAAATAAAAATAAGACACAGAGCAGTGTGTGGTCCAGCTGATTGAGCATCCAGCTCTTGGTTTAGACTCAGGTGGTGATCTCAGGGTTTTGAGATCAACTCCTGTATCAGGCTTGGAGCTCAGCATGGAGTCGGCTTGGCTTGTGACTCTCTCCCCTTTCCCTCTGCCCCTCTCCCCTGCACATGTACTCTCTCTCAAATAAATAAGATAATTGGAATTATAATAAATCAGATAATTGGAATTATAATTTACTTTCTGATCTTCAAAGAAACAAAGTCTTAATTACTTAGATCTTAGTCTTACCAAAGGGGGAAATAATTTGAAATGTACTGCATTTTACATAGGGTTAAAGGTTTGTCATGAATGATATTCATTCGGCCAAGAGAGCTATGGAATCCTGGAGATTTGTGAAATATATTAATAATTTCGTAATGGATTTAGAAATCCCTGAGTACAGAACCACTCTAATATGTCAGGAAATTTAAAATAGTATCTTACTTTAATATTCTTCCATCATGCTTGTTTTGAACTGTCTGCCAAAACGACCCCTAGAAGTATTTCATAGTATAAAATGAACAGGTGCCCTACGAAGAGAATTGTCGTTTGCTAAACTTGTTGATAACTGCAGGCTGACACATTCCAGGTTGCAGATAGTTCTTCATTAATTGATTCCACAAATGTTTACAGCGGACTTATGACGTGCCTGGGTACTCCAGTAGCAAATTAAACTACTGTTTAAGAACATACAAACTCCCTAACAGTGGTTATATTAAAAAAACAAAAAAACAAAAAAAAATAACAGGGGTACCTGGGTGGTTCAGTTGGTTAGGTGTCTCGCTCTTGATTGTAGCTCAGGTCATGATCTCAGATTTGTGGGATCAAGCCCCACATCAGGTTTTATACTCAGTGGGGAGTCTGCCTGAGGATTTTCTCTCTTCCTCTTCCACTGCCCCTCCCCCTCCTTCTGGGCTCATGCACTCTAAAAGATAAATAAATCGTCAAAAAAATAAAACAAGGTAATTACATATGAAATATTACATAATACAGCATATGAAGTACCAAATGAATGGCATGGAAATACAAAGTGATTTAGAAGTTTAGAGGCATTTGTTAGGGGCTGATGTTTTAAAGAGAACTTTGTGAAACAAAGGAAATATAGGAGGTAGGAGGAATTGTAAGTGAATAGGTGAATTGTAAGTGTATATAGGTGAGGACGTGGAGAAAGATCTTGGGTCAGGATAAGGATGAAAAGATGTACAGAGAAGAGTTAACCTGTTACTAGAACTATAGGTCTTTGTTGAGTAAGAGTGAAAAATACATTTGGTTGGTTAAATAAGGAATAGTTTAAAAGGCCTTGAATCTATTCCTTCAACAAATATTTATTGAACAGGCAGTATTTATGCAACAGGCACTAAGCTAACAATAATGAGCAAAAACAAGTATATTACCTACCTTTTTATAGTTTATAATGAGAGATTATCACATACATTTTTTTAAATTTGTAAATGTAGTCCATAGTGTTATGAGAGATTATAACTAGGGATTCGACCTAGAGAGGGAAGTCAGGAAAGTTTCAGGAAGTGTCCATTATGCTGAAGCCTGAAGAAGAGCAAGAGTTAACTAGGCAAGGGGAGCAGGAATGAGCATTCTAGACCGAAGAATAGCATGTGCAAATATCCCATGAAGGAAAGCCCTGTGATGAATAGGGGAGACTGAAACAAAAAGGGAACTTGCAGCAAGACTGGACCAAAAAAGGTCAATCAAGTGACAGACAATGAAGAACTTTGTAGGCCAGTTTAAGGAATTTTGCCCTTATCCTAGAATCCTGCTGTGAGAAGTAGTTTAGACATAGGAAATACACTCCATTCTCTAGGAAATGGGAAGTTAACTTGTGGTTCCTAAACCTGGTGTGAGTCAGAGACTCACCCTGGAAATTCTGATGTGTGTGCCTTGTCATTGTGCCCAATTAGCTGTTTGGTTTTTTTTTTTTTTTTTTTTTTAAACAAGTTCTGTAAGTGATTATTAGACCAGTTGTATCTCTGCAGAAATACTGCAGTAGTCAAGAGCTTGGGTTTGAGTCTTAGTATTGCCACTCAGAAGCTCAGCAGCTTTGGGCAGGTTATTGAATCAATTTAAGCCAAGTTTCCTCATCTTCAGGGAAAGAACTATAGAGTTTACCTCATTGGATTACTGGGAGGATTAAATTAGAAAATTCATTTAAATTGTTCAGTATAGTCCTGGACACATGGTTTAGAGCTCCATTAGTGTTAGCTTCTAATTATTACTCAAAGTTCTTGAATAAAGGTGAGAGTGATTTAGAGGGGTTAACTCTGAAGTGGTATGCAGGATGGATTAGAAATAAAGATAAGTTAGATCTCAGTAACTTGGCCATGATCTGTAACTATTTTCAAGTTTGCTTAAACACAGCTATTAATGCTTGAAGATCCTTAGATAGGCTAAGTAGTTCTTAAGTAGATAGGCTTCTCATCTCTAAAGAACTTTTATGGGGAGAGTTTGGTCTCCAGAGTACATTTTACTGGCTTAGGATCTGTAGGATTACTTTGAATTGACTTTGCTTAATTCTGGACAGAGGCTTCACTGGCCTTATAGAGGACAGTCTAAGACCTGTCTGTCTTTATTTGCTACTTAGAGAATAGACCTAACAGCTTATATCCACTCTAATGCAGTAGATATTTACAGAGGGTAAGTAATTTTACATACTTAAAAAAAAAAGGTGGGGGGTTCCTGGGTAGCTCAGTTGTTAAGGAGCTGCCTTCGGCTCAGGTCATATCCTGGGGGAGAGCCCTGCATGGGGCTCCCTGCTTGGCGGGAAGCCTGCTTCTCCCTCTCTCACACTCCTGCTTGTGTTGCCTCTCTCGCCTGTGTCTCTCTCTTTCAAATAAATAAGTAAAATCTTTTAAAAATATATTAACAATTTTATATATTATCATTATCCAGTAACTTGCCTTCTCCTCCTCCTCTTAAATATGGTAGAAGACCCATTCTGTTTCATTATCCTTGCTTAAATTCCTTTCTCTGGGTTACGTGTCCCTGGATATGCAATGGTATGTCAAAGGTAGGCAAAAATCAGAAGACAACATGTCACATTATTTCCTCTTGTATCTTGTTCCTGGAGCATCAGTTTATTAGAAAATGTACATATAAGGAATTTTTTTTTCCTTTTCAAATAAACATGAATATCATAGAGTAGCAGTTCTCAGAATGTGGTCTAGCAGACCCCTAGGGCTCCTTGAGAACATTTCTAGGAGTATGTCAGGTCAAGATTATTTTCACAAAACTAAAATGCCCTTTTCACTACATTGGCATTTACATTGATGGCACAAGCAGTGATGGATGAAACTTCTAGTACCTTTGCACTATTAAAGGCATTGGCACTAAACTGTACTAATGTTATATACTTTTCACCACCATGCATATGCAGTAAAAGCAAAGCAGAGGTTCACTTAAGAATGTTCTTGATTTGGGTGCCTGGGTGGCTCAATTGTTAAGCATCCAACTCTTGATTTTTGGCTCAGGTCATGATCTCAGGATTGTGAGATCAAGCCCCATGTTGGGCTCCACGCTGGGTATGGAGCATGCTTACTTTCTCTGCCCCCTCCACCCCTTGAACATGCTGTGCTCTTTTTTTCTCAAAAAAAAAAAAAAAAGAAAGAAAGAAAGAAAGATTGTTCTTGAGTAAGCAGTAAAAAAATACTTCATTAAATCTTGACCCTTACATACACACATTTTTAATGCTTAGTGTGGTGAAATGGGAAACGTGTACACATTTGCATCCAAATATGACAGTTGTCTCAGAGAAACACACACACATGATTTAGGTGCAAACAACTGGCTGCTCATGGCACACTACTTTTACCTGAAAGATTGCCAAAAAATTTAAATTTTTGTGCTGTAAAGGATACTGTTGAGAAAGTGAAAGGACATCCCACAGAGTGGGAAAAAATTTTTGGAAATCATGTGTCTGAAAGGGGATTTGTATCTAGAATATATGAAGATTTATTACAACTCTATAGTAGGAAGGCAATTAACCCAATTAAAAAATGGGCAAAGGATCTGAATAGACATTTCTCCAATGATACACAAATGGCCAGTAAGTACATGAAGAGATACTCACCAACATTAACTATCAGGGAGATGCAAATCAAAAAAGGACAAATGTTAGTAAGAATGTGAAGAAATTGGAACTCTAGTACACTGCTGTTGGGAAGATAAAATGGTGCGGCCACTTTGGAAAACAGGTAGCTCCTCAGGAGGTAAAACATAAAGTTTCCAAATGACCTAGCAGTTCTACCTCCAGGTCTATACCCAAGAGAAATGAAAACATATCTACATAAAAACTGTAGATGAATAGTCATAGAAGCATTATTCATAATAGACAAAAAGTGGAGCAACCCAATGTCCATCAAATGATGAATGGAGAGATGAAATATGGTATGTCCATGCAATGGAATATTGTTCAACAACAAAAAAGAATGAAGTACTGATATATGCTACAACATGGATGAACCTTGAAAGAATTGCACTTAAGTGAAATAATTGCAAAGAGCACATGTTCTAGGATTCCATTTCATGAAATATTAAGAATAGGTAAGTGTGGGGCACTTGGGTGGCTTGGTGGGTTAAAGCCTCTGCCTTCAGCTCGGGTCATGATCCTAGGGTCCTGGGATTGAGCCCTGCATCAGGCTC